GGAGGCTGTTGTTAGAATCTAAATTGTGAGAAAGAAAGCCTGTATTGTTTTGGTAATGGAATGAGTAGGGGTGTGTGGCTATCCCTACACTTGGGGCTGAAATCACTGCTCTGGATTCAGTTCTTCTTGACCCCAAGTTTTCCACTCTATTGGCCACATAGATGTTTGTTACCATGAATGCATCATTTCTCTTCATAAGCATTCATAGGAACGTACGTGACAAAGTGGATAGAGTGATGGGCCTGGACTTGAGAAGACCTCAATGACTTATTAGTGTGTGACTTTGGGCAAATCATTTAACCTCTGTTTGCCTTAGTTTCCTCAACTATAAAATGAAAAAAAAAAGTAATAGTATATTTCATAAGGTTGCTGTGAGATTTAAAGCATAATATTTGGAAAAAGCATTTAGCATTGGTCTAGGCACATGGTAGGCACTATATAAATGCTATTCACTTCTTTTTATGATTCTTCATGGAACTGAATCATTATGTTTCTTATCTGTTCCCTGGGGAATGAGTATAATTTTGTCAGTTAATCAAAGAGCAACAGTTTTCCAATTATCTTTTTTTTTCAATTGTCTTCACTGCTAATATTGTTCTTCTGGACCTCTATTTTACTCAATATTAGTTCATGCAAAACTTTCTATGCTTTTCTGAATTTGGGAGGAGAGTATTTCACAGAAAAAAGAGTGTTAATGCCAAAGGTAATTGGAAGATTAAACATCATGAGGGGCAAGGAAAGTTATTTGGTAATTGAGAGGCCATAAAAAATCTTGGAAGCCAGACTTCAAAAACAGGTGGCACTATATAAAATATAATGGCCTTGTGCCAAAGGTACACTGAGATATCGAGGAAAAATCCAGGTCAATACTTTAAAAACAAAACAAAACAAAACAAGATAAAACTGTCATATTTATCAACCAACAGAATACATCTATGGACATATGGAAGACCAGGTACCTTCTATGTTTCTATTACATGAATGGGTTCAAAGTTAATGAAATATACTGATATATATACACATGTTGTTTTATCCAATAGACTATAAATTGCTCAAGGGCAGAGATTATTTAATTTTTAGCCATATCCTCAGGATCTTCAAAGGAGTCTGGAACATTTTAAATTTTATTTTCTAATTTTAAAGTAGGGCTAATATTACATTGATATATAGAACTCCTATATATCAAAGAAGGAGTGAGGTGGGGTGAGGCAATTGGGGTTTAATAATTTGTTCAGGGTCACACAATTAATACATGTCTGAGGTCAAATTTGAACTCAGGTCCTCCTGATTCGTGCTCTATCCACTGCAACACCTAGTTGCCACTTGATCAAGGCATTTTACTTCCTAAGGTAGAAGAGCACCTGCTTTGTAATAGGGTGGTGTTCCCTGTGGCACTAAAACATTAATTAACTTTCCTGTGGTGACATAAGCTATGTCTGCTAGAAGCCGAATTTGAGCTAAGATCTTCCTGACCCTGAGGCAGTCACTTCATTATACCATTTTTCCTCCTTTAAGCAGACTTGTCTGATAGATAGTAGGTGTTTAATAAATGCTTGATTGACCAACTGACTGATCCTAAAATTTGTCTTTGTTTCTATTTTAATGCCTTACATTTCTTAACTGCTTAGAAATGCTTCTGGGAGAGCAAGTCCCAAGAGTCCCTCACAAACCTTTAATTTCCCTTTTCTCCATGGCTCCACAGAAAGCAGTTAAATGGACTAAATGTTTTAGGTGGAGTCCAGAACTTTAAAACCTGTTTGTCTTCTGAGTTCCAAGGCAGGAAAATAAAGGAACTCTTGCAGAATTTCACCTCTGCCGCTTACAAATTTTTGCCCCTGGCAAAAATTACCTTCTCCTACCCCTGGCTGTTGATAAAAATGGACCATTCTCTTGGGAGATAACAAGAGCCCATATTTGCCTGGAATGCTTAACCAGACATCATCTTCACGTCTTGATACCAGGTATGTATTTAGTGGGAGTGCATCTCCTATGAATGGATTCGTCTACTTGTTTTATGGTAAAATGTCAGTTTTCTTGGATGCATTTGCACTCATTTATTGAAGAACTTGATTATCCTTAATAACAACACCCCCCATTTTTAACAATGTTTCTTCAATATTGTTTATGAACACATGACAGATAAGCAAAAAAAAAGAAAAGGTAATCTTTGAAAGATTTTTTTTCCCTACAGAACCCATATAGTCTTATGAACTTAGATCACTTAGATTCCTACTTCCCTATCTCAGGTATTCCTAGTCACCCACCCCCCAAAATCTCATTTTCATTGAAATACCCACCAACAGTCTTTCTGAGCCTAAAGGTCTTCAGTGTTAAGGACATGGAACATTACTCCTTTGGGCTAGGGTTGAAGAAACATGTTCTTGATATGAAGAGCTTTACTTAAGGCATTTCTAGGCTCATAATGATGTTGCAGGAACCTTCCCCCCTCCCTTGGAGTCACTTCATGATCAGCAGTATTTTTGGACTGAAAAGAGCACAGCAAAGGGATATAATACAAAACAAATGAACAAAACTGTTAAAAAAAACTGTGAGGTTAAGCTCTTAACTCTAACCTTTGAGCTTTACTAACTATATGGCAATGGTTAAATTATTTAAATTCGCTGTTTCAGATCTAGATTTCAATCCCCAGTAAACTACTACTTGGCTAAGTGAGTGCCTTTGAAAATGTCACTTTATCCCTCTGATTATTAAGCTTTAAAGGAGACTTTGGAGATTAAAAAAGACCATAGGTTTAGAGTAGAAGAAGTACTTAAAAGTCTTGTAGCTAAATCCTTTCATTGAGCCTGATATGGCCTCAAGGCTGCAGGTTCCCCACCCCTGAACAAGGTTAAGTGACTTGGCCAGAGTCACAAAGCTAATAAGTGTCTAAGGCTAAATTTAAACTCAGGTAGATGGGTCTTCCTGACTCTATCCACTGTGCCACTTCACTGCCCCAAGGCATCTTTCAGCTCTACATCTTAAACCATCCATTCAGATTTCCTTTTCCTCACACATGTGAAACTCTACTCTTGACTAGTAGCTCAAGTTAAGATCCTTTATCTTTGGAGTTTAGAACGACATGTTTTTATTGCTCTGTGATATTGGGTCGTTATAGGGATACTTTTCTGTACACAAAGTTCTGGGATAATCAATGTGTGAATTGACTAAAAATATTGTCTCTTTTTCTTGGGTCATTCCCCATCCCTTGTTGTGGTTGAATTACAACTCATTACTTGAGTCAAAATAAAGAGTAGAGGAATATTCCTTTCAAGGACTACTGGGGTAAAAAACAGATAGATTAATGAACAAATAAGTAAAACAAAGGAAAAAAAAACAAATAAAGGGCTGGGCTGGGCCAGGATCAATATTAACTCTAAAGAACAGATGATAAAACAGATGCCTCTTTTCTCTCAGCAGAAAGGTATCATACTACAAATAGTGAATATGTTTGGTTTAGCTTCATTGTTTTTTTTCTTCTATATGTAGTACTTCTGTGGTTTCTCTCATCCCCACCTTGAAGTTTTGAGCCAGGTGAATAATCAAAAATACCTTCACCCTTTTAGGAAGAGAGCACCGGTCTTACATGTCATTAATCTAATTAATCAGCCCAAGTTGAGCTCATCTTTCTAGGTTTTTTTGGTAATAATATTTAAACACTAATAAAGTTTTTTCTTTTCATATTAGTAGGCTCTATGTTAGGATGGCTATTAAAATATCTTATTCATGTACCTGAAAATGCTTTCATAATTTACAGTGGAGATCTGACCAGGAGTGGGATGGGGAAATTTGCTTCCACAACACGGGGATGAAAAACAGTGAATTGAGAAATGTCTGGGATTAAACATCAACGTGTTTCAATAAATTTAATAAGAAAGAAAGAAAATAAATTGAGGAAATTACAAAAGTGGAAAGTTAGCTATATTGAAAAAGGCAGACATGGCACTCAACTCATTTGATCTGAAAGTTTCAAATTATCAAATATAAAACCTTTAGTGATGAAGGAGAAAAAAATGGAGAAATTAATGTGATGTAAATTTTCAAAGTGCTGTCTGGAGAATCCAGGTTTCAACAGGTTTCATGAAGTTAGAAAGCTCTGGCCAACAAGATTAAATCTACACAGGGACCAGTCTTACTATGTTGAAAAAGAAGTTTTGATGCTGACGTGATAGATCACTGTCTGCCACAGTAACATTTTCTGTTTGTTTATTTTCTTAAGAATCTTCAGAAAGATTGCTGCCCACCAAAACTCGCCAAGGTACATAAGGAGTTAGGGGACCTCACATTATTCTTTTCCTTTACCCTGCCTTTCATGCTTCCCTCATTCTCATCATGTTCTTCCTCTTCCTCCTCTTTTTCCTCGCTCCCTCCCTTGCCAAATGACAAATGTCATGACATTTTTGTTTGCTTGTTTGTTTGTTTTTTAACTTGGTTTTCCTTCTTTGCGTCATCCGCCAACAGATTTTTTTAAATAGGAGAGGTAACTTTTCCCTTATAATAAACCTATTAGATTACGACATTTAATTATCCTATTCCTTACTAAAACTTTTAAACTAAAGCCAAGTACTTTAAAATATGTTAATGATAGTTATCCCTAGAGGTGGAGATATATACATATGTACACACATACATACATACAAATATAAATATAGCTACAATAACATATTTATATACATGTAGTAGTTTTTAAGGTATGTTCATATTATTTGAAGTAATGTTGCGATATTGAAACTGTAGAAATAAATGGATCTATTTACCTTGAAAAAAATTTCAGCATAGGGATAATTACTTTTTTAAATAATTCTCTGACTTAAAGTTAGAAACTTTGGCTTAACGTTTTATGATAATTGTACCAATTAAAATGATCTTTTATGATTTAAAAATTCTCTCAAAATCGGTTTATGCACTATAAATATAACAAATACCAGTGATGATTTGTCCTATTCCACCTAATTTCAGATAAATTAATATTCTAATTTACATTCATCACCTACTCTAAATACATGGAAAATCAGAATAATGTCACAGAATTTGTTCTCTTGGGACTTTTCCTGAGCAAAGAGATGAAGACAATATGTTTTGCATTTTTCTTGCTGTGTTATTTTGCAATCTTCCTGGGTAACTTCATCATCTTCATCACTATCACATATAGCCATCTGATTCAGCAACCAATGTACTATTTTTTGTGTCACTTGGCCCTCACGGATCTGGCCTATACTTCCACCATCATCCCCACACTGATCAGAGACTTAGCTGCCAAGAGCACAAACATCTCCTTTAATTGCTGTATGACTCAGCTTTCTGCTGCTCACTTGCTGGGAGGTGTTGAAATGTTCATCCTGGTATCTATGGCCTTTGATCGCTATGTTGCCATCTGTAAACCTTTGCGCTACACAGCCATTGTGAACCGGCACACATGTAACATGCTGATATTGACTGCCTGGGCAGTGGCCTTTTGGCATTCCATTGCCCAGCTGCTCATGGTCCTTTGGTTACCCTTCTGTGGCCCTAATCAGATCGACCATTACATATGTGATGTGAAACCCCTCCTGAAACTGGTCTGCACTGACACTCATGTTGTTAGTGTCTTGGTCATTGCTAACAATGGGATGGTTTGCTTGATTACTTTTCTTGTCCTTCTTGCATCATACATAGTCATATTATATAATCTTCGAACACACTCAGTAGAGGGCAGGCGCAAGGCCCTCTCTACCTGTGGCTCCCACATCATGGTTATAGTCCTTTTCTTTCTGCCCTGTGTCTACACCTATGTGCCACCTCCCAGTGACAACAATAATGAGAAGGAGTTTTCTGTGTTGTACACTGTGATTGCACCCATGCTGAACCCTCTTATCTATACACTGAGGAATACAGAAATGAAGAATGCCATGAGGAAGCTGTGGTGCCACAAAATATAATAGTATCAAAATAAAACATATAGGATTCAGCTTGATCTATCTCTTGAGTCCATGGTGTCAAAGTCAGTTTTAATATTCCTCGATCTTTGAATAATCCCAAGAAATACCTTTAAAAAGATATGGATTAATCTTGTCAAAATCTTTGATCTCTGCATAACCCAGTAGCAAGAACATGTGTGTGTGTGTATGTGTGTGTGTATGTATATATGTATACATGTATAATATATACACATAAGTACACACAATTTATACTAAATAAATGTTTATTGAATAAATTAAACAAGCTCTAAAACGCTCCACAGAACTTGCTTCAGCTGCCCTCGTGGCTTTTGGAACAAATTGCTCTCCTCAGTCCATTCTGAGGGGAATTCTTGTCATGTTGGGAGTAGACACCCATCATTCCCAACTCACCCATGAATCTGAGGCCCTGCAGGTACCCTCAACCTGGTTCACCCTGTCTGCAAAGATAGTTATACCGTTGTGTGGCCACTGCACATTCTACAGCTTCTTGAAACCACAGGTAAGAGTTGAGTTCCAGGTAGACAATAAAGGTGAAGGAGAAGCCCTGAAAAAGGGTTGGCAAGACCTCACACAAAGGTGCCGGTTTTCCTTTAACACCCCATATACTCGACTGACTACCTGTTAACTTCCTATACTCACAAGAAGGGGGAGGAATTCATGGAGACCAGAACAAGATACAATTTTAACATGCAAAAAAATCAAATTAAAATGATACGATGACAAGTATGAGATTTAATCTGTATCCTATGGCCACTCCTGAAGCAGGTCCTTAAAAAAAAAAGCCAGAGTTTCAGTTTGTGATGGATAATTAGAGGTGATTTTCCCACACCAAGATGAATGTCTTGCTATCACTCAATGTAAATCTCTTACAGAAGAGAATTGACATTGTACCTGGAGCTCTATGAAAGGGACTGAATGAGGAATTAGGATGGAAGAACTAGATTTGGAAGAATTTTGCTCAAAGAAATCATAAAAAAGGAAAAAGGGCCCACATGTACAAAAATATTTATAGGAGGTTTTTTTTTGTGTGTGTGTGTGTGTGTGTGTGTGTGTGTGCTGGCAAAGAATTAGAATTTTAGGGGATGTCCATCAATTGGGGAATGGCTGAGCAAATTGTGGTATATGATTGTAATGGAATACTATTGTGCTTTAAGAAACGACAAGCAGCAAGATTTCATAAAAACCTGGGAAGACTTACCTGAACTAGTGCTGAGTGAAGTGAGTAGAACCAGGAGAATATTGTGTGATGATCAACTATAATAGACTTAGCTCTCCTCAGCAATATAGTGATGCAAGACAATTCCAAAATGCTTCCCATATCCAGAGAAAGAACTATGGAGTCGGAATGTAGATTGAGACATATTATTATCACTTGTTTTGTTTATTTGTTTGTTTCTCATGGTTTTTCTCTTTTGTTCTGGTTCTTCTTTCACTAATGTCAAAATATGATTAAAATATTTGCACACATATAGCCTATGTCAGATTTCTTGCTGTCTTGAGGAGTGGGGAGGGCAAGGAAGGAGAGAGGAAAAATAGGAACTCTAAATCTTATAAAAATGAATGTTGGTAACTGCTTTTACATGTAACTGGAAAAAATAAAATACTATTAACAAAAAAAGAGATAACTTTCAAATTCTTGAAGACAGCAATATACTCATCCCTCAAGTATTCTTTTCTACAGGAAAAAAATAAGGATATGCCATTTCTTCAACCAGTCATTGCATGGTGTGATCTTGAAGTTCTTCACCATTCTGGTTACCATTATCTGGTTGTTACATAGTTGTCAATGTTACTGTTAAAAAGTAAAATACAGAAGTGAGCTCAATAGTCCAGGTGTAATCTGCTCAGGGATGAGTTCAGTTGAAATACCAACTCACTAATTGTATATATATATCTTATAGCAGCTTATAATTATATTAGATTTCTTTTTTCCCTTTCCATACTGCACTTTTATCTTATAATATGCTTATGGTCTGCTAAAACTCCTGAATCTTCTTAAGGTGAAATATTGACTATGGATGATTCCTCAATTTGAACTTTTTTATCTTTGAATGACTTAATAACTCTGATAAATGAAATAATAAACCATGCTTCCTGAGGAATGATGAAACATGCTACATACCTCCTAACACATAGATGTTGGCCTAAATGCATAGAATAAGGCATATTTTTGGACATGACCATTGTGATATTCGTTTTTTTCTTGATCATAAATATTTGTTTCCAGTTACTTGCTTTCCTTTTTCTTTTCTTTCTTTTTCCCAATGGAAAAGGGAGACAACTGAGGCGACAAATAAATTCTTGTTAATTAGAAATATACATAAAAAAAGAAGCAAAAAAAAGAGAAATCAACATGGGTCTATACAGGACAGTCTCAGCAATTTCCAAAAGTTGTTCATCAAAGATGTGACACTCAATGTTGAGTTGGATATTTAAAAGACTTGTGCTCAATAACTCTGAAATCTACAAATCCATTTTTTTCCTTATATAAACCAGGAACACTTGAAGCTGAAGCCAATGTCATTAATATGTATGCATGTATGTATGTGTGTAGACATGTATATATACATGTATATCTGTGTGTATATGTGCATAATGTATATCTTTGTGGCATGGAGAAAGCTCTTATGGTTTTATAGGGTAATTGAATTTCCCATCAATATTGTCCCATATTTCAGTGCCAGCCTTGAGATTTGTTTCCCAAACTTCTTATATATTATGTCCTTTCTTCAATATGGTGTAGAATATTCTTCTAGAACACAATCACTTTTATTCTCCCTCTATTTACTTTGATCCAAATATTCTCTGTCTTGGCAATCAGAGAAGGAGGAGGAAAATCACCAACCCCAACATTATCACCTCTCCTTTCTGTACTCTGGAAGAGGAGAAGGGAAAAGAAGTAAATTTTAAAAAAAAATCATTCTCAAGAGCAGAGTTCTTTTTTTCTTCTTTTTTTTTTTTTTGTCCCCACAGTTGACTCTTTTCCTAACTGCCAAGGATGATTCCTTAGATCTTGGCTACAGAGTTGGATAGTTTATTTTTAAAGGACACTATGTTTCTGATATTTCTGCCATGCAAAGGCTAAACACTAGAATTTCATGAATTTAAACAAGGAGCTCTTTCACACTGTACAAATGAGTAAAGATGTTTTTGCAGTTTTCATCTACTTTCTAAACTCAGTTTTGCATCCACTGTAATATTCACATGAGCCACACAGTGTGTGAATTCTTCACTTATTCCATCCTTTACAACTTGTAAAATAATGAAGTCAAATCTGAAATGTTGAAAATGTGACTATCCTAAATCTGAAAAGGGTAAAGCCTTGATGCCTCATAATCTCTTTTGCCTGCCCCTTAAATTTTGTAATGTCATAAATTGGTATAGAATATACAGGTGTTCTGTAAGTACCTTGATAAACCCTTGAATACAATGATACGATAAGATTAATGAATAAAGAATGTTGACGAGCCATAATTTTGAAAGATGCTTTATAGTGCATAAGAAAAGTGTTTGAGAAACCTAATAAAAAAGCTAATGCACTAATTCAAGTTTATGGGAATGGGAACCTATAAGAGGGTGATATCAATAGGAATAAATTTAGATGAATGTGGTAGATAATTTAGAAGCAGAGTATTCAATACTGCAGGTGATAGGAAGGGAAATACTGATCATGATACTGAAAATGATAATGGTAATAACTCACATTTATATATTGTTTTTAAAGTTTACATATCTTTGTATAAACATTATCTCATTTGATCATAACAAAAATACCATGAGGCAGGTCAGTCACTTTATTAACATCTAAGAGTACAAATATAAAATAAGAGTCTCTCCCCTCAATTAACTTGCATTCTATTTGAGAGAAATACTATGAATATGTATATTCTAATACATGGACATATACTGAGTATACCAAAAGGCAATGTCTGCACTAAGCCTTCTGAAAAGCCCTGTAAAAGTACACACACACACACACACACACACACACACACACACACACACACAGGCACACACTACATAATTCTGGTATTTAAATAAATAATACTAAGAGGTAAGGGTTTTTTAAGGTACTCAGCCACAGTCAGTTCAGTTACATGCAGGTATCACTCCAAAGCTAAATACATTCTCTTGAGCAGGGTAGGGCAGTGGGATCAACAGTATCTCTGCAGTTGAACTGAAGATGGACAGGGTAGCTAAGTGGATGTCTAGTCATTAGGTTTGCCTGGTGGTCCCATCAAGGTTAGATGGAATCCTTGGCCCAAAGTGGGAATTTGATAGCTTATCATTCTATCACCAGATTGACCACACACTTAGCAAATATTTGAGTGAGGATAAGAACTTAGATCTTGCTGAGTTCAAGTGCTCTAAGAAAACCTGAGCAAATTGACACCAACAATTCTAGCAACTGACTAAAATGAGTAAATCAGAAGGGGAAAAAAGGGAAGTATAAATTCGGTTTTGGAAAGGGTTATTTTAAGGCAACAATGAGACATACAGAGAGAGATGCCTAGGGAAGAACTGGAAATGAGTATCTGAAGTTCAGGAGACAGCTTAGGCCTGGAGACAAGATTGTGGTAAGCATCTGCAGAAATGAGATTTTTGAATTTTATACAGAGGAAAATATAAAAAGATTCCAAGGGAGAGAGAGCTACTAGAGGGTAAAAGAAGGAAGCATCTATGCATGGTAAAGAATCAGGAAGCGGAGGACTGGCTGAGAAAATAAATGTCAGAGACAGTGGCAAGAGAGGAATGAAAACCAAGATAATGTGGTGAATCACAGAATTCAAAAAAAAAAAAAAGAAACCCAGAGATATAATGGAGGAGAACATTCAATTGTGTCAAATGCTGCAGAAGTCATGTTAAAATGATTTCTTGACAAGTATACAATAAGCATTCAAGACAGCAGGTATTTTAGAATATTGGGAATACAACCAGATGACAATGTTTTGTGATGAATTGTTCTTTAAAAGTGAGTG